ATATTATCGCCAACACCAATGTCAAAATACACTCTCCATTGCTCGCTGCTATTATGAACGAACAATCTCTTGCTCCCGAACGTACTCCTGTGGGCCGCTTGTTCGTGTCCCCCAAATTCCAAGTGGACATTATTCGCTGTTTCCACGATAGCAAGTTCGCCGGTCACCCTGGCATCCACAAAACTTACTGCCTGATCTCCAAAGACTTCTGGTGGCCCGGTTTACGTAGGGATGTGGAAGACTTTGTCAAGGCTTGCAATGTTTGTGTCAGGAATAAACTTCCGCGGGATCTCCCTTGTGGTTTATTGCAGCCCTTAGTCGTTCCCGACAAACCTTGGGCTTGTTTGGCTATGGATTTTATTGTTGATCTACCAGCTTCCAATAGGCATACAGTTATCCTCACGGTCCTTGACAGGTTTACTAAAATGGCTCATTTCGTTCCCTTGCCTAAACTTCCGTCCTCCCCCGAACTGGCCGTGATATTTGCTAGAGAAATTTTCCGTTTACATGGTATTCCCAATGAGATTGTGTCAGACAGGGGTTCCCAATTTATTTCCCGTTTTTGGAGATCCTTCTGTTCACAGTTGGGCATCAAACTGAATTTTTCTTCGGCCTATCATCCTCAATCTAACGGAGCAGCCGAACGCACTAACCAAAAAATTGAGCAATATCTACGTTGTTTTGTTTCTGAACACCAGGATGACTGGGTCGGTCTGATTCCTTGGGCGGAGTTTGCTCACAACAACCTTGTTTGTGGTTCCACTCGTAATAGCCCCTTTTTCTTGAACTATGGCTTTAACCCTACTGTTCTTCCGTCGGTGTCTCCTTCCCAGGGTATACCGTCGGTTGATATTCATGTAGCCAACCTGAGAAAGTTGTGGGATCAGACTCGACAAATTCTTGAACGTAGTTCCGCGGTGTTTAAGTCACATGCTGATAGGCGTAGACGTCCTGCTCCTATTTTTTCTCCGGGGATAGGGTCTGGTTGTGTACCAGACACATTCGCCTGAAAGTTCCTTCCTTGAAGTTTGCTCCTCGTTACATTGGTCCTTACAGGGTACTGAGGAGGATCAACCCGGTTTCTTATTTGCTGGATCTACCTCCTACTCTACGCATCCCTAACTCTTTTCATGTGTCGTTATTGAAACCTCTTGTTTGTAACAGATTTTCCTCCCGCTCTGCTCCTCCATCCTCGGTCCGTGTGGATGGTCAGGAGGAATATATCATCAAGTCCATCCTTGATTCTCGTATTTCTAGGGGGAAGCTGCAATACCTCATAGACTGGAAAGGTTATGGTCCGGAAGAGAGGTCTTGGGTTCCTGGTATAGACGTGCATGCTCCTCGTCTTCTTCGGGCCTTCCACGTTCGTTTTCCCTCTAAGCCCGGTCCCATCCGCCCGGTGGGCGTTTCTAGAAGGGGGGGTACTGTCAGGGTACCTGTTGGTGATGTATCCAGGGAGGACATCCTCTCTGCTTAGGGCCTCCCTGCCCCTAGCATTTCGGCATATTCCGGCCGTTTTCGCGCCGGCCGCGCTAGCTCCTCCCCCTTTTATGACGCGACGGCTAGCGTCGACGTCATGACGTCGGCATTTGCATAAAGTGCCGGGAACCGCTATTCCGGACCTTTTGGGGGCGTGGTCTCTATTTAGGTAACAGGGTATTTAAAGGAAACCTTTACTACTGCTCATTGCCCTGTCGTGGTTCTAGCTTGCTAGTCACTCAGCGCGTTCTTTATCTTGTGTTTCCGGTTTTGACCCTTGCTTGTCTTTTGTCCTGTTGTCCTCTCCTCTCCTTTGACTCGGCTTGTATCTCGCTTACCTGTCCTCCGGCTCCCTTGACCTCGGCTTACCTTTTGACTATTCTTGCTTTGTCCTTACGTTAGTCCGGCCATTCTAAGGTCCGGTATACGTACCTCATTCTGTGCGCACTCTGCGTATTGGATCCCTGTCACTTTCCTGACAAACAGGCATTCAACCAGCTGAAGACGGCTCTGACCAATGCCCCTGTACTGGCTGCTCCTGATCCAACTAAACGTTTCCTTGTTCACACAGACGCCTCAATGTTTGGATTGGGAGCAGTACTGAGCCAGGTCGGAGCCGATGGCGGAGAACACCCCGTAGCCTACTTGAGTCGGAAACTGTTACCCCGAGAAGTGAGCTACGCCGCCATAGAAAAGGAATGCCTGGCCGTGGTGTGGGCCCTGAAAAAGTTACAGCCGTATCTCTATGGGCAACCCTTTTCTTTGCTCACAGATCACAACCCGTTGGTGTGGCTAAACCGTGTGGCTGGGGACCAATGCCAGGCTGCTGCGCTGGAGTTTGGCGCTGCAGCCCTTTGACTTTACGATCCACTACCGCCCAGGGAAACAAAACGGTAATGCCGACGGGTTGTCCAGACAAACAGACCTTGAGAAGTGATCTGTGAGCACTTCCCCGGACATCCCCAAGCCGATCCGTGGGGATCAGACTGTGTATGCCGGCTTGGTTCTGGGGGAGCATTGTGGCAAACCTAGCCACTTGAACTATAACCAGAGACTGTGCCTTCTTATGTATGTGCTTGATGTATGTTCTGCAGAGACTGTAATTACTGTTTAGCCGAATGCTAATGGCGGTTTGTATGGGGACACTTTGGAGGGCCGTTCGTGAAGCGAACGCGATACCCCCTCATAGCCCACACACTTAGAGGCATTGTTGCAATCGGTAATTAGAGGCTCTCCTGGGTGGCCGTCGTTCGACTACCGACCATGCGGCGGTCGGCCATCTTGGATCCTTTGTTCCTCAGCGGGTCCGTGTTGTCGAACGCATAGTATTACCAATAGCTATTCGACGGCACGAACACCGCTGAGCCTCCAGGACGTTCGGGAGTTTCAGAACCGTGTTCACTAAAAGTAATCGGTTCTTTTCGTATGTTTTGAAAGAAATGTGTTTTCTGTGCGGCGTTCGGTTATTCTAGCTGGGATCTGAGCGGCAATCTCACGAATGATGCGCCCAGACCCCAGCTATCTACCGAACGTCCATTCGTGCAAATCCACCGTGTATTTTAAAAGTTATAGATTTTTGTGTGAATTGCCGGTTCTGCTGCACGAGGGGATAATCCCCTTAACGGTGCATTCTGGGAGGATGATCCCTCTCGTGCAGCAGTGCCTGATGGGAGAAATATGTTGTACTGTAAGTCCCCCATGTAGTCCCCTCTGGAGTGCCCCTGGGGAGGGACTCAGGAAACCCCTTGCATGGGGACTTGTATAAATTGTCGTGCCGATTAAAGGATTGTCAGTTGACTCCCAAAACTGTGTCTCGTCCGGTTATTGGGAGGTTGGGGATATTGCCTTGTTGTTTTCAGCGCTTGACTGTGGATTTGTTTCTGGACCAGCGGAATTCGTGGATTTATTATTGGCGTTCCGCTACAGCTGTCCTCTCTGGGGACAGCGCGATAGGCCTCTGCTGCCCGCCCTGCCAACTTGCCTGCTAGCAGGGGTACCCACACTGCCTGCTCCAGGTCGTGTAGGTCACATAGCCGCTCAAAATCCTGCAGCTACCCGTCAATCTCATACTTCTCCTCAAAGAATGCTTTAAACGCCTGGTACGGTATCTTGTTTCACTGGAGCGCAGAATGAATTAGCGATGGATTCTGCCCTGGATGGTGCCCCCTGGTGCTGTTGTGCCATAATGTATTCCTGTACGTCTGCCATCAGGACGGTCAAGATCAGTTCCCTCTGATATGGGGTTTCCTCCCTGGCTGGTGGGGGTGGGCTGCTGTGTGCTCGGTCGCCCTCCATTAGTTCCGCAATTAGTACTGCCTTGGATTTATTGCTAGCGCTTTTCCCTCTAGCCTCCAGCAGTTCCTTTAGCGTCTGCCTTTTTAAAGTCGTGTAATCAGTACCCATTCACTGATCTCTTTCGTCTGTTTGCTGCATACGAATTGCCATTCCCTTTTTCCGTTCGGTTGTTCCTTTCATTCGAATGCGCTGTATTCGGCTGTAGAGTTGGATCCCGTCGCTTGCCACCAATTGTAGCGGAACGCCAATATTAAATCCACGAATTCCGCTGGTTCAGGAAGTAATCCACAGTCAAGCGCTGGAAAAAGCAAGGCAATATCCCAAATCTCCCAGTAACACGATGAAACACAGTTCTGAGAGTCAACTGCGGTCTTTTATTTCAGCTCCACAATTTATACAAGTCCCCATGCAAGGGGTTTCCTGAGTCCCTTCCCAGGGGCAGTCCCAGAGGGGACTACATGGGGGACTTATTGTACAAGCTATTTCTCCCATCAGGCACTATTGCACGAGAGGGATCCTCCCACTGGAATATACCGTTAAGTGGATTATCCCTCCGTGCAGCAGAACCGACAATTTATATTAAAATACATAACTGTGGTAATATATGGTTTATTTGCACGAATGGACGTTCGGTAGATAGCTGGGGTCTGAGCGCATCATTCGTGAGATTACCGCTCAGATCCCAGCTAAAACAACCGAACACCTCACAAAAAACACATTTATAAAAAGACATGTTAAAATGACCGATTGCCTTCCAGGGAACGAAATACCGAACGGCCCGGAGCAACCGAACGGCCTGGAGGCTCAGCGGGGTTCGCGCCGTCGAGTAGCCATTTTTAGTACCATGCGCTCGACGACCTAACCCCGCTGAGGGAACAAAGGATCCAAGATGGCCGACCGCCGCATGGTCGGTAGTCAAACGGCGGCCACCTAGGAGAGCCTCTAATTACCGATTGCAACATTGCGCCTCTAAGTGTGTGGGCTACTACATGGGGTGTTTTCGATTCACGAAAGGCCCGCAAAAGTGCCGTTCGTGAAACGAAAGAAAAATCCAATACAAATAGCTATCTGCATTCGGCAGATAGCCAATACAGGAAATACAAGGTATTACAGCCAGCATACATTATACTTAGTCACACACATATCCCACAACCATACAGGCAACCCTTAAAGGTACAGTCTCTTTATATTGTCCAAGTGGCTAGGTTTGCCACAAGTACATCAATATATACAGTAATAAATGAGTAACTTACCAAAGGTGTGTGGTAGTGCCCATCCGGTAGTGCCCAACACGGATGGGCACTACCACACACCTTTGGTAAGTCACTAATTTATTACTGTATATATTGATGCACTGTATGATTTGTTATTGATCTTGATAAAGACCCAGGAGGGTCGAAACGTTGATTGTTTATTTCAATACACTTTAAAAAAAAAATCCCTGAGGAGTGCTCCATTTATTCTTGGTTTATATATATTGTGATCCTTGTTTGCAGATAGCACGGTCCTCTAGGGTAAACAACAGGCACAGTCCTTTTATTTTCATATAATCCATGCACTTTATTTGTAAGTCCACACAGGAGACAGCAGCAAATGAAAACATAAATATAACACAAATCCCTATAAACAAAAACCTAGCTCATCTGAGCACTTACCAACATCAGGTTCCCTATCTCTCAGGGGTTAAACTAGAACAAAACAATATTGTTTTCACCAACCTAGTGTCTTTGTCAGCTCTCTGCACTCCAGTGCTTAGTCAGCCTGTTGCTTTCCTTTCTACACTCCCAGTGCTCCAAGCCAGCCTTAACTGCTTTCCTTTCTGCACTCCCAGTGCTCCAAACCAGCCTTAACTGCTTTCCTTTCTGCACTCCCAGTGCTCCAAGCCAGCCTTGACTGCTTCCTTCTGCGCTCCCAGTGCTTAGTCTCCTTGACTCTCACTGGAGAGAACAGCCTCTCTCCTACCTGCTTCCAGGGAGGAAACCAGCAGTCCCCCCTTTACCTGCCTAGCAGGGAGGGGTTTATTCCCACTGCTACAGCTGATTATCTGCAGCTGAGCTGTGGGTTGGAGACAGTTCCAAAAAACTCTGGCCTGGAACTTATTTCTCCCAATTGTGTATAAACTGAGGAGTGGAGCATTGGCCCACCCTGCTCTCCAAATGCTCCACCCCAGGGGCCCATAACTAAACATAGCTTTGTGTTGCACACCACACATACAACACGTACTTCCCCTGGGGTTAAATGTTAAAGGACTCTCTGCCTTCACTTTATCACAATATATAAATATATATATATATATATATATATATATATTTCCAAACAGTCCTGCTTCAGACAGGACAGTCACGATTTCGTCTTGTTCTCAGGGCCGGTGCAAGCATTTTTGCCGCCCTAGAAAAAAACAAATTTGCCGCCTCATTTGCTCCACCCAATCATGCAGACTAACACATTTGCTAACTCAAGTAGACACACACTGACCCATGTAAACACACACATACTAACCCATGTAGCACACTGACCCATATACACACACTGATCCATGCAGACACACACATACAGACACACTGACCCATGCAGACACACACATATAGAGACACACTGACCCCATGCAGGCACATGTATACACACTGACCCATGCAAACTGACACACATGCACTAACCCATGTAGACTGATGCACACTGCCCATATGCACACTGACCCATGCAGACACGCAATAACCCTTACAGACACACACACCGACCCATACAGACACACACACACACTGACCCATACAACCACACTGGCCCATACAGACACACACACTGACCCATACATGGGTATATTTACCGCAAGGCTGACAAGGCATTTGCCTTGGGCGGCACTTTAAAAAAAAAGCCGCCCCCAACCGCCCTGGCAAATGCCTTGTCAGCCTCTTGTCATGGGGGGCCCAGGAGCTGGCCACCTCATGCCTCCCCAAGGCTGGCAGCGGTGGCACTTTCCTGGCGGGCAGCAAGGGAGCACGGATCCTCCTGTTCAGCTCCCTCGAGCGCACTGCAGTGATGCCGGAGCCAGAATATGACGTCACTCCAGCCTCAGCATAACTACGCGGCATGTGAGGGAGCTGAACAGGAGGATCAGTGCTCCCTTGCTGACTGCAGTCACCAGCCAACCGCCCAGCAGCCCCACTGGACCCCAGGGAAAGCGAGAATCCAACCCAGCACTACGAAAGATAGGGAGGCAGGCGGGGATTGAATTGTAATTATTATTTTTTTTTTTAAATGTGAGTGTGTTTGTGTGTGTGCCTGTTAGTGTGTGTGTCTGTTAGGGAGTGTGTTACTATGTGTGTGTCTGTCAGTGTGTGTGTGTGTCTGTTAGTGAATGTGTTAGTATGTGTGAGTGTGTTAGTGTGTGTGTCTGTTAGTGTGTGTGTGTGTATCAGAGAGTGTGTTAGTGTGTATGTCTGTTAGTGTGTGTGCATGTCTGTTAGTGATTGTGTGTATGTGTCTGTTAGTGTGTGTGTGTTAGTAGGTGTGTCTGTTAGTGAGTATGTATGCATGTCTGTTAGTGAGAGTGTATGTGTGTCTGTTAGTGAGTGTGTGTCTGTTAGTGAGTGTGTGTGTGTGTGTGTATGTGTGTCTGTTAGTGAGTGTGTATGTGTGTCTGTTAGTGAGTGTGTATGTCTGTTAGCTAGTGTATGTGTGTCTGTCAGTGAGTGTGTGTTTCTGACACTGAGTGTATATGTGTCTGTCAGTGAGTGTGTATGTGTATTTAGAAGGCGGGGTGGGGGTGGTGGTGCCTGAGTTTTGTCATGCCTAGGGCAGCAGAAAACCAGGATACACCACTGGACCCATACAGAGTGACATACATAAACATACTGACTGAAGCAGACTAACACACATTCTCTGACACACATCTTACTTTCATTGCTGTTCCTTGCCTGCGCCTGGTTGCCTATCACCTCCTTTCTCAGCATATTTCCTGTTATGTTCACACCCACTTCTCTCCACGTGCAGGGGAAGGGGTGGGAGCAAAGAATTGAAGTGCCCTTGCACTGAGGCCATCACCGCCCGAATTGGATGTCTGGGAGGGCGGTCCTGGCTGATGTGTATGCCGCGGGACCGGTGTTCTACCGGGCGCAAGTGAGCAACAATATAAGTGTTTCCGAGCACCTGGTAACATGGCCGGCGGCATGCTCAAAATAATCTAACTTGATGGAGGGGTGGCCGCGGCACAAACTATCATAAAGCCAAGGTCGGTGCCCCCTTAAGCAATGCTCTAGGCAGCAGCCTAATTTGCCTGTAAGCACCAGCCCTGCCTGTTCTACTGTCCCACTTTTGTTATCTGAGAAGGACACCAATGAATTGTCCATGGGTAGCACAATATTAGTGAGTCATTAGTTGTGACTGCTCGCAATGTGCAGCAGTTACTAGGACCATGCAAAGACTACTAGAGCAGTGTCAGTAAGAGGAGGAAACACCAATTATATGCTTCGCCTGTGATGTGAATCACTTCATTGGCGACATCCCCTCAGGGCCAGTTTCCTCCAGTCCAACTGCTTGGGAGGTGTATATTTATACAGCTAGGTACCAAAAACAAAATGGAGAGACCAAAACAAGACAAAACTCTCCACAGTGCTAAAATAAAGATTACTGTTATGCATCACCTGTATATCTCAAGCTGATATATGATAAGTCCTTTTTGGGCACAGAAATCCACAATTATCCCAGAGTTCCTAGCATGACATGCAAATTAGCACAGACAGGCATTTCTGTTGATATCCTTAGCAACTGACACTGGTTTAAACACAGCTTTTTTTTTCCCTCTGAGAAGCAGGAATACAACTGCGCAAGGGCAACAAATTTCTAACAGCTCTGTCTAAATTTAGTTTTATTTTTCTTTAATTTGACTGTTCAGAAAAAGTAGGTTTCAGGCAATATTTATTAAACAATAAAACTAAATGTGCAAATTTACTTTGATTTCCTAACTGAAAATATTTCTTTACAATAAGATTCATAGGATTCATAGGTGCAACCCACAAGAAGGGACTGATACAATGATTTAAAAAAAAAATTACTATAGCGAATCTAAAAAGACCATTTTAATGGAGTCTAGGATTTTTATAGCATGTATGAAAAGAACAAACTAGGAATAGCGATCTGCTGTCCTATTCTATGTTTGTATCTCCTTTTCCCATGCCAGAATGTTGACAGAGCCCAGAGATTGTATCTACTGTAATCACAGCAGTCTACCCTCATACGGAAATCAAAGGCTCTTCTAGCTTTAACCCTCAAAAACGGGCAGAGAGATGAAACTGTAATGTGGAAAACTCATCTTGATATGAACATTCTATTACCTGGTGACTACAATAAGACTGAGCCTCATAAAGATGAAAGGAATGTAACAGATCGAACCAAAGAGGCTCAGACTCCACAAATCAATACTGCATCAGACTGATTGACACTTGTGCTGCTTTTGTGTTCCAGGCACTGTTGGGATCACCGTATCTGGCCCTTGCCCTCCACTCCTTGCTTTCTGCATCGCAAAATCAGCAAGAAGGATGGAACCCAGGAAACTCTACACAAGCTGGAGATAGGAAGGGGAGATTTGTAGGTGGTAACTGCACAGCTCTTCAAAGGTCAACGGGTCACTCAACCAGAAGCCAAACCTTTTCATTCATTGCTCTTTTTATTCACTGAACTTTTTCTCAATGCACTGACTGATGTTTCTCTTTAGCATTACATGCATCTATGTATTTATTGAACTGGACTTTATCAAGTGAAAACAGATTTTAGTCTATTTTTGTCTGTTGTACAGGGATGTGGAATATACGGGGACTTTGCAAATAGATGGTGATTATGTCATTATTTTAAAATTGCTGCATGCAGATGGCCTGGAGTAATGAGCTACTGGTCTCCTGCATTTGATTTATTTCTAGACATGTTATTTTGTAAGTGCAATATCTTTCAAGTTACATTGCTACAAGTATTCCTACTAAACTCTTTCAGCTCAATTTAACACAACCTGACACCAGTTTGTTCCTGGCATCGAGGCAAATTCACACCAAAATTCCATTTACTAACTGGCAGATTGCTGCCTTTGTGCCAGGGAAAAAAAAAAAGATTGTCAGTACAAGGCCTTTCCATTTAAAAACACAGAAACATCCCTTTTCTAGAAGCTGCTGTGGTTTACTAGGCTTACAAAAAGGTTTACAATAAGCACCACTAGATATTTCACAATAGTTTGCTTACCTAGGACAACTACCCAGCATAGTTAGATTAGACACCCCTTCCAATGTTCAGTGATCACACTGATAACCAGTACGATTGGGTACCACATGTAATTTTATCACATGACAGGAGGCTTCCTATT